CGATGGGGCAGACGTGAGCCCATCTGCCCGGGGACGGCCCAAGAAGGACGCCGACGCGAAAAGCAATGGTGCAAAGGGGACGACGGGGACGACGGGGCGAGGGAGAGGACGGCCGCCTGCGAACCCGCTGCAGAAGTTCCTGGGCTCGTTCGCCCTGGAGTGTGCGGCCGTCAGTGATAACTGGCCGGACCAGTGCGATTCGATGGACATGTCCATTTCAGCCTCTGACCTGGACCCCTGCGGCATGATCGCGTCGTTCAACCTGGGCATCGTCGAGGGTACCATGCTGCTTGCCTTGACTCAAGATGAGCTCAACGCCTTTCACAGCAAGGTCGAGGGCGGTTCCGGTGCGTTTTTATCCACATCAATACTCAATCCATCTCTATATGACTGCTGCTAACCCGCTCAATTCAATTCACAGACTCTGACTCGGAAGAGGACGCAGAGTGCGACGAACCACCCGCGAAGAAGGTCAAGAGCGCCGCAGACGAGGATTCTCTGCGGCTCTACTTCAAGTGGAAAGGCCGGAACACAACTGACACCGAGATACATGACGGGAGCAGGGATGTAGGCACCATAGACTTCCTTGACTCCAAAGCAATACAGTTCAAGGGCATCGGAGGCTTCCCTGCCCTGGGATCAAAGTGCGAATTCACAGGAACAAGATACGACAAGGAACCTACCACCGTTCCTCTGCCCTGGAGCACTTTTTCAGACGAGGCTGCTCAACTAGCCAACGAGAACAGATGGTAGGCGTCTCAACGCAGGAAGAGGGGAAGAGATATACCTATATGATACCCCCCTCCCCTTCCAACCCCAACGTTGCGATGTCCTCTCTGTTTGTCCTGTTCCGTGTAATTTTATTATGCCCGATTTTATCTACTGTCCATCCTCTAACCTCTCTCGCTTTGCTTCTACGGAGCATCAGCCCACCATATTTACCGTCCCTCCTCTTTTCTTTTTACGTGAACCATACATACCTTTCTTTATACTTATTTTCTCTTGTCTTTTCGTTTTACCCGGGGAGTTCTCGCAGGTTGTAAACAAGATGCCAATGGCCAGTCAGTCATTTCAGTTCAAACAGATATGAAAGCACCTTTTTCTTTCCCTTCTTTCTTCTCTTTTTCTACATATACCTTCCGACTTATTTCAGTGGCATTCTTCATCGACTTCGAGCAATAATTTGATCGTGCAAGAGTCTTGTGGTAAATGGCTGGCAAGAATAGTACCTAGCTTATTTGTTTTCTCGGTCATCGCAGTAACTATATTGTCGTAACATTAAATAATCTTTTTCAATTATTTGGTCAAATATCCTTCCTCTAACCAGAGACGCCTTTTTAAAACCTAGGATGATTTCCACTGAAGGTTCACTTGTTTACTTCGGGCCTGTGATATTCCTCGTTAGAACACTATATATAATTATGTAGGAAATATTGTTTTACTTACCAAGGGAGCAAGGGCGCTGACGCCAGCCATCAACGCAACAACAGTAAGCAGAAGCTGGATCTTTGAGAACCCCTTATCAAGGATATCGAATGGCTGGCTTGGCGCAAGTCGGGTTCCGAAGATATCAAATCCATACGAGAATATCAACGTCGTACTCTCAAGTAGCGTCGGGCTGGATTCGACGTGCTGGATGCCCATCACATCCCGAGAATGTGTAAGGTGCCATTTAGGATCAAACTCGAGGTTCGGATTATATTTCATTAGACCTTCTTCAGCTTCTTGGGCAGTAGGATCACGGCCCACGGGGCGGCGGGGATCGAGGATGGGTCGTGGGATTCCAACGATGCTGCGTGACGCTGGGAGGGTGCATAGGAGCTGTCTGATGGATATTCCCTGGCGAGTTTGGGTGACTGCCATATTCGAAATGGCTTCGGGGATCATGTACGCTTGTGATATGACATGCGGCATGGTGATGTTGGTGATACTAGAATAGTTGGCTGCGTCGCCGAGAACACCACGGTCATTGGGAGTAGACGATTCATATAGTTCAGATACTATAAGCTGATATCCCTTTGCAGCCGATACTTCACTTGTGTCTGCCCAGAAAGAATAGGCAAACCAGTTCTCGGAGATAACTGAGGCGATGGGCTGAGTGATATCAACATTCGTGTACCTTGCTGTATGCAAGATCTGACCGGATACGCCATCAAGAAGGTAGAAGTCCACAGTGGACTCGCCAGTTGCCGTAATGAGGGCGAGATTGTGGTTCAGGTACTTGTAAAGAACGGATCTGTCGCCTAGGACCTTGCCTACCGACGCAACGGGGTCGTGAGCCGGTCGTGCAGTAGCATGGATAATTTTTTGCCCCTCAGGGACAGTGAACTCCCACATTGGGGCCTTTGATTTGCTGGTATTCCAACCTAGGATCCGCTTGTCACCACTCCGAGTGACGAGGAAGGCATCGATTCCATTGACATAGGCAGATTCAGTCGGTACGCCATGTTCCTCAACTCCAACCTTGAAATCTGCAGCGCCGTCTGGAACAAATGCGATAGATGCAACTTTTTGCGTTGGGGGTGTCCGGCTGGTAACCTCACCCGTGGTGATGTTTACTTGGAGAGTGCTGCCGTCATCGACATGGACGGTTGCAAGCCCCAACTGAGTGGTGATAGCTTTCACGCCCCAATCAAGATCATTCTCCACAGCCTTGATGTTCCACATAACTTTTCCGTGACGGCCTGAATCAAGGGCTGCAACTCGCCCAGTCCTGGTTGCTAGGATAATCTGTTGTCCCAGGCCGAATTGGATTAGGTCGCTGATATCACTTGGCATGAAGCTGGTCAAGACTCTCATGGGCATCTCCATCAACCAGTCAGGGAAACCTTGCTGGATGGCCTTGAGATGTCGGATCAAACGATGAGCGTAGGCCATGGGTACACTCTGGTGGCCTTCAACCTCGAGCTCGCGGGCAAGGGTCACACCATCGTTCAGGTCGGTCCATGCAGCAGCAATAGCTTCCGTGAGAGACTCAGGTCTAGTCCACTGTAGCTTTCCGTTTAGAACCAAGGACCAATCTCCTGACTCTTCGACCTGGGCGAATCGAACGGAAACACCTGATTCAAGTGCAACAACCTCTGAAACGGCATTTTGAGATTTCTCTGGCAATACCTCACTGGTCTTCCAGGTTCCCTGGGCCTTGTCAGACACAGATGAGTAGATAATGACCTCAGTTGGAGTGATCCGTGTAAAGTAGAGGTTTTCGTTGTTCGTGTTAGTGCCGGCTGTGATGACTGAGTGCCCCTGGATCTTTGGAAGGCTGTAGGCTTTTGTGATGCTTGTGGTTTTAATGTTGATATGGTAAACATCAGCCCATGATGCTGAGTCAGTGCGGTATTCCACGAGGAAATGTGCTGGGCCGCTTGAGCTCTGAGATACGTGAATTTTAATATGACGAACCCCTTCGTGCTCTACCTTGATGGACTCAATGGTATTAGACCCCAGTACGTTAATCTTGAGAACGGTATTGGCCTTGTCTGTCCAAGCAATCAAGGGTGCAGCGGCGTTTCTGCCAACAAGAAGAATCGATTCAGGCCCGAACACTTCTGTATCCGAGTTCAGGGTATATTGGCTCCCAGTCTGCTTACCCTTGGCTAGATCCAAGGCGGTGACTTTAATCTTATATCCAGATCGAGACGCATGCTGCAATGCCACGTAGTAGCCAGTGGACTTGGATGCCACTGATACCTGGAATGGTACATCATTACTAGACGGTAGAGTCAGTCTCATATCTATGCCAACGGGTAATATAATAATAATAAAAAGATATACCTCTCATCCTTGAATTCCCACACTGCACTGCCAGAGTCGATATCCAGCCTCCTCAACACACCCTTCTTATCTCCCAAGAGCACCAGGACGTCATGTCTGTACATGATCTCCTCAGGCCGATCCGGGACCAACTCAAGATCCTTAACGACCCCATCCGTAACCCGCTGAATCCACCGAAACCGTCCATCAATCGCATCCCACGCCGAAACACCGCTACCGAACGCACTCACCAGCGCATCATCGTTATCCGCCGCACGCAGGAACGCTTCATTAGATGATCCTACAGCCTGCGGGAAGTACTCTGTGACGTTCTGCCTCCACACCACCGATCCGTCCTTTGGATTAACAGCTCCTAGGATGTTCTTATCTGAGTGCGTGTAGAGCAGCGATGCGACGGAGGAGGGACTCGAGCGGTGGAAGAAGGTGTTGGCTGCGCCGGGTTGGCCTAGGAGGGCATGGTGGTAGTCGATATGGTAGGCCTCGTCTGCGAGGATTGCCAGCGCCGAGGGGACAAGGGACGCCCACAGGAGGGAAGCTGCATCAAGCCGCATTGTATTACCTCCTTACCACTAGCATCTGTCAGTGGTGTGGCGTGTGGTGGAAGTGTTCAATTCGGAGCTGCTGGGTTGCTTGTCTGTTGTATTTGTTTAGCTATCTTTGCGCTGTTGGAGGCGCTGTCTTGGCAGCCACTTAGTCAGATACGGCGAGACGGATGGGCTGGGAGCAGAAGATACTTAGATCAGAGCAGACGCCTAGATAGTGATGGGAGTATACGAGAGTAGAATAGGCAAGATGAGAGAGTTTGGAGGCATTGACATCATTCAAGCTAAATTTCTACCATACTCCGGTATAACCAGACCTACCCGTGATACTCTTAATACTCCGGCCTATATACAACTCCATTCACATCGATATCCATATCAACATCAACATCAACATCCAGCGATAACGACGACCGTGACCAGCACGACGGTGATAGTAATCAGCCCACCATGCGGGCTGCTGGGCGTTGGCATTGCCACGCCCGTGGACTCAGAGGCCTTGGGGCCAATCTTAGCAACCAAACGATCCCCAATATGAGCGAGGGATTCCTCGAATGTATTGAAGTTGTCCGCCTTCCAGTCAGCGCCATTCGCACCCGGCTTGGCCTCTTCGCCCTTGAAGGCAACGAAAAGGACATCGTGCTCTTCATGGCCGTTGTTGCCGGTTAGGTTATTTTCCGGGAAACAGGCCCGGGCGAGAGAGATAGCCACTTCGCCGGTGTCTGTGTTGCCATTGGTGTCTCCCCAAATGCCGTAGAACTATTCAGATGTTAGAACATGTGTTTACCTGTATCTGGGTAAACAGAGCCAGCGGGTTCATACCAGTCTGTTGTTGCAGACGACTGCTATAACACTGAGGGGCTCAATGCCTGAATCTGAAGGGAGGTAAGAGGGTCTCTTGCCCTCGTTGCCAAAGACGACATAACCATGCAAGTTGGCGTCGAGGTCATCGAGACCGTATCCTTGCACCTCGTCCTTGAACGACGTCTGTCCCTGGCCAGTCAGATCGTTGGCGCACTCTCCCTTTGACCTGTTGGCGCCGTCGCAGTCGACATCTATGTCTCCGAGACGGCCCTTGGGACCTTTCAGGTAGACCACACCCTCATAGTCACCACAGTACAGGAACCCACCTGGCACAGTTAGTGAAGTCCCACATGTACTTCAATATGCCCTTCAAGGAGGGAAAATGATGACTTACTCTGTCCATGACCGTCCTTGAAACGGTCGCTGCTCAGTGGCTTCTCACATCGATTGTTCTAACGGCAGTCAGCATGTGGCATTACTAACTAAATTTCCGGGAGGGATCAGCGGCACCTTTGCATGATCGAAGAGGGCCTTGAGATTGCTGGGAATGGGCCTGCCAGCAGCAGAAGCAAGGCTCGCGAGGCCACACAGGGCGACGCAGAGGACGGTCTTGAGTGCCATCTCGCTATCACTACCTCAATTCACACTTTCACTGTCCGACCAGTGCTGAAGAAAAATGGGCGAGAGCAGAGTCTTTTGAATATGCGACAGGCTTAGTGTTGCAGGCTAACAAAGTGATTTAACTAAGTTCGCAAGGTTCAGGGGGCGGACGTTCCAGATAGCCAGCAAAGGCCGAAAGAGGCGCATCAGGGACACGCCAGTCTAGTCGTACCAGACATGGCTAGTTGCTCCGTGCAATGAGGATAGAGAGAGGGTCCTCTAGTGGAGTTTGCAGGAGAGAAAGCGTTTAGAGATATGTATGTCTGGGGTGCTAAATCTGGGGTACAGCAGAGAATCTTGTCAACCGCCAGGCCAGCCCATCAGCCCCTTAAGCCCGGAAGAAGTCCTGGGAGAAAGCCTCTAAGGCTCAGTTAGGGCTGCCCAAGTCTCCAGCCTCAAGCATAAGCTTCCCTTAGTCCCGGTCCTGCGCCACATAAGGACGAATCTTCTCGCCTAAGTAGATCGATCGCATGTGGGATTGCCCTTTAGTTAACCAGTCGGATGTCCGGTTCAACAGGTCGCTTTGCTGGCTCTTTGGTCCATCTTGCAATCCGTATGTTTCACCTCTTTATCGGCAGCCCAGACCTGAAGAGATCTCGACATGGTCCCCTCCTTGTCGTCATCCATAGCTGATATTGACATATATAGTACGGAGTACCTGTCAGGGACCGGAGTACTTGGCATATAATGGTCTAGACAAGCGAGCAGACAGGAGACAGCATCGGCTTCATATATATGGGCGATAACCGTTTATCCAGAGTACGGTGTCGGTTGCTGGCCTTGATCCAGACCAGCAGGCTGTCCCTTTAATCTTCACCCGGCGAGAGCTGAAATCAGGATCAAACCAAGATCAAGACCAAGGCTTCGAGTTAGTGCAAACAGCCATCTGTGCTACTGGTTAGTTACCCTGTAGGGGGTTATGTGACTGATCCAGGGCCCGCTGGGAGGCCTGAGGGAGGCCGTGATTATATGGGGGGACGCCAGAGATGCCTCCTCCCGCAGAACTCGCCAGCCGCAGGTCAACCGAGACCATCTGCTGACCTTCTCGCCTATGCTCATCGCCTCCGCCGCTCTTCGCCTTCCTATCGCCGTCTCTTTGGCTTGTTTGTCTCGAGTTTATCTTCATCGTCGACGCACAAAATAATATAAAATTTAATAAAAATAGACCGTCAGGCGACATCCTGCTTACTTAATCATGTGTTATTCCCTTTTCTTCTTCCTCCAAGCGCAGTTTGACCGCAACAACCGAACCCCAACTTCTTTGCAAGTAAGTTGCAACAACGCTCAAACTAACTTCTTAATGCTATATAATTAAGTCTACACACGCGCATCTAACGACCGCGACAGCTCTTCTCGACGCTGCAGTGTTTCTTTCTTCATACTCCGTACCCCCGGGCTCTCCTCTGATTTCCTCCCTCGCTGTCGCCGTCGACGCTGTCCCGTCCGCCTCCGCATCCCCTTCTCCGCAATCGCCCCGGTCCGCTTGCTGCCCAGATTAAAGCAAAACGACATGTCTTGGGGTTGAAACCCGCATTCCCTAGACTGAAACATATTTTATTTATCTTAAAAAGAAGAGACGGGGCTCAGATACCGTGTTCTCTTCGGTCCAGTCCACAGACGCACGCGCACACAACTATGGACGATGACGCTGGTGCAGTCGGCGGTCGAAGTCGCAGGTATTTACGCCTCCCGGTGATGTCACTGTCTAGTAGATGTCCAGACGCTAACTCCAAGACCCGGTGAATAGGCGACAGTGGCCTGGTAAGAAGGATGGCGGTGTCGTTGGACAGGCAGGATGGACCAGCAGCGTCGTCAATCTGGTCAACACAAGTGAGTTTCGTCATTTCTGCATATATAAAAAATGGTAAAAAAAGGGGGGGGGGGGAGAACCACAGGCTAATGTGTGTCTCTTCAGTCGTCGGTGCCGGAGTCCTGGCGATGCCGCACGCCATATCTCGCATGGGAATGCTTCTAGGAGTAACGGTTGTTCTTTGGGCCGGCCTCACTTCGGCCTTCGGGTTATATCTACAGACACGGTGCGCTCGGTACCTGGAGAGAGGCACGTCTTCTTTCTTCGCCCTCTCCCAGATCACCTATCCGAATGCAGCGGTCATATTCGACGCAGCAATTGCGATTAAGTGTTTTGGTGTCGGTGTCAGTTATCTCATCATTATTGGCGATTTGATGCCCGGCGTTATCGAAGGGTTCGTTGGCGGGACTTCTGGAGTTGATTTCTTATACGACCGGCATTTTTGGGTTACTGCGTTCATGTAAGGGCTTTTACTTATCTCCGTTCCGTGCTTTGATGGAATACGTTTTGCTAACTACAAGGTCTTCCAGGTTGATTGTCATTCCTCTATCTTTTCTGCGAAGGCTAGACTCATTGAAATATACTAGTATTGTCGCCTTGACCTCTATCGGATATCTTGTCATTCTGGTTGTCGCTCACTTCATCAAGGGAGACACCATGGCTGACCGTGGCCCTATTCATTTTATTGAATGGCAGGGTCTCATATCTGCCTTGAGTGTTTTTCCAGTCATTGTATTTGCATATACTTGCCACCAAAACGTACGTTGAAAACCCCTGTTTCTGTTGTGCAAATTTTCATACTAATGCTCGTATTTTTCACGCAGATGTTCTCAATTCTTAATGAGATCGCCAACGATAGTCATTACAGAACGACTAGCGTGATCGTGACGTCGATCGGCAGCGCTGCAGCAACCTACGTTCTCGTCGGTGTAACCGGCTATCTCTCCTTTGGCGATACCATCGGCGGCAACATTGTTGGAATGTATGCACCATCATTATCGTCAACAATTGCCCGCGCCGCCATCGTTATCCTCGTTATCTTCTCTTATCCTCTACAGATTCACCCATGCAGAGCGTCCCTAGACGCAGTCTTGAAATGGCGTCCAAATAGCAACAAGTCCCCCGCAAACACCCCTTCGCCAAATCGAAACCCCCTACTCCCACGAACAAGCCCACCAAACGAGGGCATGAGCGACATGCGCTTTGCAATCATAACTACTGTCATTATCGTGCTCAGTTACATTGTTGCTATGACTGTTTCATCCCTCGAAGCCGTTCTAGCATACGTCGGCGCAACCGGAAGCACAAGCATCAGCTTCATCCTTCCAGGACTGTTCTACTACAAGATCTCTTCTCCCGAGTCAGCCGCCCATCAACGTCTGATGAAAGAAGACGATGAGCTGGACGCAGAGGAACATTCTAATGAAGTCGATCCTTCGGCCGATGCATCCCAAGGCCTTCTGGGTCAGTCCTATGCCCGCTTTATGTCCCGCTCTACCAGCCAATGGCGCCGAGACCTTCTCCGCAAACTGAGTTTGGGCCTCGTAGTATACGGTGTCGTGGTCATGGTCGTCTGTCTGGTCACAAACACCTTCTTTTTAGCCTCAGACATGAAGGGATGAACCCTCCAGACTCTCTTTTTCACTCCACACACCAAACTACATACATGCTACCTACCTACCCTACCGACAGCTAATTCAATACAACCTACTCTATTGTCCCGTTAGCCTCAGCACCCCCAGAGGAACGTATGATCTTATAATAGCCTTGGGGTCATCGCAGTTCCGATCCTTTGGTCACCTGCTCCATCCTATTACCTCAGCCCAATCGCTTGATAGGCTAGACCGCTTCTTCCCTTGATCACACTGTATTAACAACCGCTACGCTACCTTACCTATTTTTTTTTTTTTTTGTTTTTTCTGCTTTTGTTTTCATAGAGCTCAACCATATACTGGATAGAGCATATATTTGCCACCTTTTTACTTTGATGGCACTATTCATTAACCTTCTTTTAGGACTTTATCTTGGTGTCGTTCTTCTGGATGACTTCAGCTTTTGTTAAACTTTGTGGCATTTTCCAACCAATTCATTTCTTTTCTGGTAAGTGAAGGCGGGTTGGATATAGGATGGAGGGGAGACACATACAGCTGATTTATCAATGTATATTGAAAGAAAATCCAGATATCAATAGTAACAATACAAATACTGACCAGAGCAATTTTTACGTTACACTTAATATGTATAAACTCCGTGAGGGGAGGGAGAGGCGTTTTGGATTATCCACGGCCCAGAACAATCAAATCCAGACAGCCCAGTAATATTACCACCCTAAAGGGGTAGGCAGAATAAAGCTATTAGAAATAAAAGAAAAAAGGAAATAAACCAGTCGCTAGCAAATACCAGGAGTAATGAAAAATGCTCGAAAAAGAGAAAAAGGCGAGCCAAGCACAGATATCAAATTCCCACCGTCTGTTGCCATTTGTAAGTTTGGATCAAATGACAATGCCAAGCCGCATAACAACCTAGTTATTGCTCTGGTTGTTCAGGATCCGGAGGATGGACAGGAAAAGATTGATGATGTCAAGGTAGAGCGAGATAGCAGCGGCAATCTCCTCCTCGACATGATAGTGTCGCATCACGAGTTGGGTGTCAACAAGGATGTACCCACTGAATATCAACGCGCCAACAGCTCCGTATATCAGATCCATGGTCTTGCCTACTGGGAAGAAAGCCGCCACAAAGCCGAAGATTACCAAGAACCAAAATGCACCGAATAGATATGGCATCCATCCGGTGAAATCATACTTGGTCTGGCAGGCGAACAGGGTGAGGCCGATAAACAGTCCCATGGTGATAACAAGAGCCTGCATAACTATCTTGGAGTCGTAGAATGAAGTTATGACGCTGATGGCGTATCCTTCAAGCAGGGTGAAGCCGCTGAGGAAGAGGAGGTTGGTAGGGTAGCTCTTGCGTTTCCAGTATGTGAGGAGCATGAAGACTATGGCTCCGATGAGGGATCCGATCATAAGCCATGAGTGCGACTGAACCCAGGACTTGTATTTCGTGTTGAAAAAGGAGACTGAGCTCAGGGCGGTGGTGAGAATGAGTTGAACGGTGCTAGATGGGAGGAAAGTGACAGTTAGCCTGAACCCCCTTTGAACGTCGCGGTGAAGCTGGTTAGGACGCTTGACTTACAGGATAGAGTATACTTTGCGAATGAACTGCATCCGGATAGGCATGGCTGCCTCCGCCACAGAGCCTCCATACTATACATCCAGTCTCGGTTAGCTACATTTAATACCGAGCCAGGCAGCCTCAAAACGGGAGCAGGCAGTCATATTTTCAGAATGAGACATACCTTGAAGTCATCTGGGACGTTATCGTCTTCAGTTCTTTGCGTTCCGTAGATTCCAGCGGAGGGGCCGGCGGCATCTTGATAGGATGGAGGGGCATGGGGATAGATTTGAGCATCCATGGAATCCCGCTGGGGGGCCTGCGAGTACCGGGCGTTTGATGCCATATTTGCACAGTGACAGAGCTCGGACCGGGGGGGAGGGGATTCGTAGCGGTGGACTCTCGAGTCGGCGACCAGGGGATATCCCACGGCAAACGGGTGCGTACGAGTGTGCTGGGACGACGGGGACAGAGAAAAGGCTCTGGGGACAGCAGCGGAGGAGTCGCTAATATATCCAAGCCCAGCAGAAGGCGAAGGCCGCCACCAAGCAAGGCTGGGCCCTGACAGGGTCACATGACGGCTGTCGGCCTGGGCGACTGGCATATTCCGAAAGTTACGCTAAGATACGGGAATACCATCTGCTATTGGACGGATGGTTTAATTACAGTACATGCGGTAACACGAATGCGAATACGCCAGACTTGCCAGATCAGGAAACAGCCTCGGCAAGTTGCAATAGCTTTCAGTATTAGTCAGCAGCTGTCAGTTCTTTCTATGCAAAACAGGCGAGCTGTTTCCTGCGATCCGGCGGCCTCGCGGGTCTTTGCGCCCTGGGGTGTGAGCGGTTGTGTCACCAATATCCGTGAACGCTCCATAGCCAAGCACGTCGGCCGGGATATTCCACAGTCAGGCAGGTGTGGATAATTGGACTGTCCACCATGAGACAGCCATATTATGTTTCTGATATTTTGCAGGATCGGTAAGAATTTATCTATTAACACTAAGGGACCAAGCTAAATAAGTCAAGTGCCAACTAGTCGTGTATATACCATTTGCTAGAATCTGCAACCAGCCAATTATTCTCATCGTTCAATATCAGAACCAGCGCGCATTTTAGGTTGTGCCTTGAAAAGCTTATTATATTTAAGCACTCAAAAGTGGGGCCTAGTACCTCGATCGCCACAATTTTATACCTCCGTATCAGCGACATCTGATACTAGACAACCTTGGTGCTCTTCGGATTAAAGAATAAGAGTGATTGCATAATTATGAAGTCATACATTCTACTCTGGCACACTTGAGCCATGCAGCTTTTGTTTAATGTCTCTGGTTAGTAGTACCAATCCGCCACTCCTGACTACCACCTCTTGCAGTGCAAACAGAACTAGATTTCCAAGTTATTCGAGCATAGCAATATAGGTGGGTTGTTGTTTAGGTTAGAATAACAATTTTGAGTTACGCACCTTGATTGAGCGAATTCGATGAAATCAAGGTTAAGTATCTAGTAGTAGCGTTGTTTTTCCATTCCTCCAGGCTTTTCGGAGATGTTACATAACAACAGCCCTCGCCTACCTATGGTTCCTCCTTATAGTAGAAAATGAAGCCGAATGTGGACTCAGGGCAACAAAGGTCAAGTTCACTTCGTAGCAGCCATGTATGCATCTATATCTTCGATTTTCACCTGATCCTATAGGTATCTCTTCTTCAGACAACCAATGTATTATTGTCATTCGAGATCCAACTCAAAGAAATGATAGGTACACACTGCCAAACCTGTCTAAAGTGGTATAAATACGGCCAAAGATACTCTGCTCAAAATACGGATATGAAATAGCGGGAGCATATGAGAGTAGCCAGAATGTAAATAGAGCACGACAGCGGGATAAGTAAATGAGTAGGTTGATTGAAAAATGCTAATTTGCAATAAACAGGGGAGAAGTATAATAAAGAAGAGTCTAGCCCACTTCTAGTGACTCCAGAATGAAACGCCAGTCGCAAACTCCCCGTGATAAATGTGTTAAAACAGCCATATGTTGCGCCCATGGTCCTCTAACCGATGCACCGGGCAACTAGAAAGGAGAGAAATGGAAAAAAAAAAAAATTTTTTGAAATGAAGAGGGAATATGAAGGAAATATGGCAAGATTAACTTCTGATGGCACCCGTCACATTGGGGAGCCGGTCTCAGGCTCACTCCCGGTGTCCTGGTCGTCGTCAAGTTCACAGTCGGAGTCGCTACCACCGAACATTTCCTCGAAGGAATCCTCGTCTTCGCTATCGACCCAAAAGTCCTCATCTCGCTCGACGGGTTTTGTAGGAGGTGCAATGCTAGCCTCGTGAGAGGTAGGCATCTCGTAGCCGTCTGGGATGTCCTTGAGCGATCGCTCGACTTCAGCCTTGACGCGCTTCTTGTAGGCTGCTGGGTTGCTGCGGAGTTGCACACCGGCCTCGACGTTGGCAGGCGAGCTGACTTCTGCGTCGTCAAGGAGGGAGATAATCGAGATCAGGACAGATTCAACCCGCTGAGCTGGCGACCAGCGTTCGGAGGCGAGCTCCCCGGACATTTCGTCCTCACCGGGCTTGTGTAGGATGGAGATGCATACGTAGCCGTTGTCGTAGATGTTAGGATGCCAGAGAGATGGAGTGAATCTGAATTCTATAAGTACACAAAAGTAATATGTCAGCCCTGTTCCTGTTCAATTTTCTACTGCTGGCCCCCTTTTGCTCGCGTGATATGGCCGGAAGGGGGTTTCAGGCAGCAAGGTGAGATCCTTACGTGGAGGTGAATAAGGGTAATTCCTAGGGAAAGTGATTTTTCCTTTAAAGAAGCCGCCGTGGTAAAGTGAGTCTGGGTTCAGGACGATCAGGGCAATGTCCCAGTTGAATATGTCATCGTTGTTCAACTGCGTGACACATTTTATCAGCAACCGCCTATATATTCCTTCACGCCGACAAAAAAAGAGGATAGAAAACAACTGACTTCGATATTTAGCCACTTCTCCTTCACCAGAGACTTGTATTCGTTCATCAAGATGCGTTCGGCCATGGCTGATATCGCGAGCGACAGATGGGGCACTTCTTGGAAAGGTTTTTGCGGAGACAACCGTGGAGGCAGTTAAGGCAGGCTAGGAAAGGCCAGGGGGTTTTTAGGCTGGATAGAAGAGAAGCCGCTGGAAGAGGTGAGAGGGCGATGAGAAGTGAAGGATTCTATCTTCTTCGTCTCCTTTTCCTGATCCGAAAGAATTTTGTTGCGTGAGGGTTTTACTTGCCCCCTTCCAAGGCCCTTTCTCATTAAAAATAGAATGACGGGGCAGAAGAGGTACATCGTGATATCGTTGGGCGCTTCGAAGGGCCGAACGACCCACATGACCGCCAAATCTTTTTAACTAACCACGCTGCCATGCCGTCCTATCGCCGAACACACAAGCGCAGATGACGTTTGGCCGCAGACGACGAAGACAACTGCAAGCAGGAGTGGCGATGTCGTTACTGTCCTTCAGCACGCCATTTGCTGAGGGTTAGCTATCTGGCGATGGTGACTTCGCCGTAGCAGCGGGTGGTTAGGGACGTTAGGTGGCGAGGCCGTATACCCCCAGAAACAACGGGCTTAACCATCATCTTCCATCTGATAAAAGGATAGAAGGGGCAGGAGAGCAGACGAGACAATCGAATACTCTGGTCTCGCGCCAAATATATCGAAGGAAGTTTGTACCAGTGGCCGCCACCACCACACCTCTATTAGCCAGGTACCGGGGCTCGGCCGGCCTATGAGATTTGATTCTGGCGAAAGTGAACCACATCTGAGTGAGTGTCACTGAAAGGCAAACGGTTCTATATCTTGATATCAAAAAAAAAAAAAAAAAAAAAGTTATCATGGGCAGGACGACGTGTCTCTATGAGGCTGGCTTGACAGCAGTGTCTAAAAACGCCATTTTAGCCCTTAGACAAGAGTCCGATCCTGTGAGAAGGAACAGCCGTAGCTCCCTGATGTTCTACATTCTCGAGGAGTTCAAAGAGGCTAAGGAACGGCAAAGGGAAGGGGGACTGCCCTGACCTGTACTGCCTATGATGGGTGTTTTTTTCCCCGGAAAAATATCGCCAAGGGACAGGGACAAACGACATTCGCCCCGCAGGATCCGGGGAGACGTATATACCAGATGCCGCTTCAAGAGGACTACGCCCTGCCATTATGCACCGTGGAGCCCAAGAAATATATCTCCTCCGCTACTCAACAGATAATAAAGGGCAGAGGATGTGGCTCTTTGTACAGGGACAAGGTCTACAGGGACAGGCATACATCGATCACTTGCAGAGCTCCAGTTGTGTCTAGAATTGACCCTTACCTGCAGGTGTTTACCATGCCCGGACTTACGTTCTGGAAGCACTGGGAACAGCGGTATGGGATGCACTCTCCGCATCCGCCAGGGCCACACCCAGACGGATGGACACTGACTCGTTTCCCCGGCCGTCTCCCATGATTAATCATATACCAAGATTCAAGATAAACATTACCTTTACAGAGAGCCCGAGTCAGGCGCCACAAATATGTGTGAAGGAGTGTAAGTGAGCAACCACAAGGCTTCGCGCTCCTAAGGGAACGCTATCAATGGCCACGTACCAGCAATGTCGAGAAATAAATCTTAGGCCGAGAAACCTAGCCAGGGTCGCATTTTAGACAGCACAGAAACGAGGGGGATGTGCAATAATAACGTGTTGATCCCCATGTTATAATGCCTGCAACTCTCCACGCCATGCTGGCAACCAACGTCGGTTAAAAAACTAAAAGCCCATCATTTGATGACTTCTGACCGAGACAAAGAACGCTTGGTATAGAACTATAGTCTGGGTAATAATAACTATATTGTCTCTTCCGCAGAAGAAGCTCGGCTCCATGGTCCAGGGCCCCATATAATGTCCTATACATAGCGACTCCTCGCTTGTTCTTGAGATGGCTACAAGCGGGAGGCTGTTCTTATCACGCAATTCACCCCATATGCAACCCTTGTCCGAAGATGCGGAGGAAAAAAAAAAAAGCACGTATTAGTTAACGAGCTAGCATGTCAGAGGAGATATTAATATAGAGTCAGCGACCGTTCGACCGGAGACTCCCTTGCCCTGGCATGCCACTCTCCCGAGCCAGAACGAGTCTAAATCAATTTTCCGGGTAGCTCGCGGGAAATCCGAGCAATATTTTCTCCTTGGGCCGCTTGAGAGGTGGTATCGGCCTCTTTTCCTGTTTCGTAGCTTGCTAACTAACCGTCGCCACCTATACAGCAGTTAGTTGAGATACCAGTCCAAAGATCAGAGCAGGGTTCATGTCCTCGGCCACCTGCCCTTGCAGCGACGAGAGTTGCTTGTTAGCCCAGTCTGGAAGAGACCGAGATGATGGTTCAAAAGCCACTAAATTAGTTAGCATTTCTTCTGTCCTGACGCCTCTTAAGACGCCGGCCCTCGCACATTCGTCTGCTTGTGAGAGCGAGCAGATTCTGGGGTGCGTCAAATCGAGATTCAAGCACACGACATCTCGCACAGCACAACGGAGGGCGGGATGAAGCGAGCTGGTGGTGTGAGAAAAAGAACTTGCAAGACCAGAGAACTGACGAGGCCTTCTTCGTTCTGGAAGTGCTATGGAAATGTCTCCTTGTCGGAGCTCGTATCGAAGGTCATGGAAGCCAGGGTTTTTCCCTGTTAATTGGCATGCATCCCCCTGGTCATTTGTACAAAATCTGGATGACAGGGGCCACCAAACCATCATCTGAACGCTCATATCTTGTTCTAGGACTGCGGATAGGACTGTTCGAGTATCCTTCAAACAAGACTTTTACCCCATAAACACTTTAGCATACATGCTGCTTGGCTCTTCGAATCACTACCGTGGCCCTTGAGATCCCGTCTGAGAGTACCATCACCACCTAGCACACGGGAAACCAGATGGCAAGACTAGCCAGTCAAGGGACAGAATTCAACTCAATAGAGACTGAGATACTCAATCTGGATAATCTATGCCGTGGTTCATGTGATTAATACCTGTTGATGACCATCCTGCAGAATGTCATGCTTGATTGCAAAAAAACCGGCAATCAAAGACGCTACTATACACAACCATGGCGCATCGTGATTCCTTTAGCACCGTATGGTGAGCAGGGAAGAATCTTGCTTCTTCGCCCCACGCTCAGTGCTGGGCACTAGGGAAGGGTCACTGAACAGCAAAGACTTGGATGGTTATACTTTACTCCCCTGTATACCCTTCACGGCCACTTGCTTCTCAGCTGAGCAGTGGCTGTTGGTGTCTTCCCTCCGGATAGACAGGGAAGAGTATGTCTATATAAACCGTCATGGATAACCTCGAGGAAAGGTCAGAGAGCCAGCAGCCTTCCCTCAATCTTCCCAATCCCACCCCTTAATTACCTTTTGGGCAGAATAACCCCTATCTCCCCCCACCATCAGACACCATGCATGGACTTATGCTTGCGGGGCTGTTGGCTCTCCCTTTGAGTGTGCTTGGTCACCCTACTGAGTCACACAGCTCTGGCATAAGCCGAAGGGCCATTGATATTACTTCATATCGCCTTCCCCAGATATCCAAATATACCAAGAGCGACGCCGTTCCTAAGCAGGATGGTGAGAGCTTCACTACCTCGAGCACTGGGAATGACAATTCCAGCTCTGGTGACTACGTTACTACAGCCACCAACTGGTTAAAAAAGACCCTTCCAAAGGCAACTTACCGCCTTGTCAAGGATCACTATATTGGTGATAGCGGAATTGGCCATGTGCACTTCCGTCAGACTGCTCACGGAATTGATATTGACAACACCGATTTCAATGTTAACGTAAGTGAAATATATCGCTGGCCAGTATTTCCAGGAATAAAGTGCTAATATATGTGTAGATTGGTCGTGACGGAAAGGTCTTTTCCTTCGGAAACTCCTTTTATGATGGAGAGATCCCCAAGGCCAACCCAATGGTCAAGCGTGACTTCTCAGACCCCGTCAATGCTTTGCATGGAGCAATTCAAATTTTGAATCTTCCTGTCACCGCCAAGCCCGAAAATGTCAAGGCGAAGCCTGTTGAGGGTAAGGAGAACTTCAAGTTTGAAGGTACCTCGGGAGCCCTTTCCGATCCCAAGGCCCAACTTGTCTACCTGCAGAAGGACGGTGGCCTAGTTCTCAGCTGGAAGGTTGAGACTGATGTTGGTGACAACTGGCTACTCACATATGTTGATGCAAACAAGAACGACAAAGTCCACTCTGTCGTTGACTACGTTTCAGCTGCCGAATACCAAGTATAGTATGTCTCTGAGTCTTCTTCATTAAAGGAATAAGAAGCTAACCGGGTCATAGTCCTTGGGGTATCAATGACCCTACTGAGGGAAACCGAACCACCCTTCACCTTCCCTGGCTCAAAACTCTGTCTACTGACTGGCACATTGATGGCAAAGGCTGGTACTCAACTACTCGGGGCAATAATGCTATTGCTCAGGAGAACCCTACCGGCGGTCCTGAATACGAAAACAACTACCGCCCAAAGAGCCCTCTGTTTATCTTCAAGTATCCATACAGTAAAGCAATGACCCCTCCATCATCGTATAGAGATGCATCCATCACCCAGCTATTCTATACCACTAATGTTTACCATGATGTGCTTTACATCCTTGGCTTCAACGAGAAAGCAGGAAACTTCCAGATTAACAACTGGAACAAAGGTGGTGTTGGAGGAGACTATGCTATCCTTAACTCCCAAGATGGATCTGGCGTAAACAACGCCAACTTTGCTACCCCTCCCGATGGTCAGCCAGGACGTATGAGAATGTACACCTGGAACGCTTCTATTCCAGAGCGTGACGGCTGCTTCGAAGCTGGCATTGTCATCCATGAGTACACTCATGGAGGTGAGCTCAACTAACCTATCAACTATAACATTAAGCTTGATCGTCTCACTAACATGGGCTTTGTATTAGTCTCCAACAGACTTACTGGAGGTCCAGAGAACTCTCGCTGCTTGGCTGCTCTTGAATCTGGTGGTATGGGCGAGGGATGGAGTGATTTCTTTGCTACCGCTATCCGCCTAAAGCCTGGAGATACCCGTGCTACTGACTATACCATGGGCGAGTGGGCATCCAACCGACCAAACGGCATCCGCAAATACCGCTACTCCACCAGCCTTACCACTAACCCGCATATGTACGTTGATGCCGATGGCTTGACCTCCGTCCATGCCATTGGTAACATTTGGGCTTCTATGCTCTACGAGCTTCTCTGGAACTTGATCGATAAGCACGGCAAGGGAGACGTCACTAAGATCAGGCCAGTCCTGAAGAATGGTGTCCCGACTGACGGCCGCCACCTCGCTATGAAGATTGTTCTCGACGGCATGGCCCTGTTAGTATTCCTATACTTAACTATACTTGCTTATCACCAGTAATGCATGCTAACATCCAACTCTCCAGTCAACCATGTCTCCCCAACTTTGTTCAAGCCCGTGACGCCATCCTCGACGCTGACAAGAACCTCACCCAGGGCTCCAACAAGTGTGAGATCTGGAAGGCATTTGCTAAGCGCGGTCTTGGTGTTGGCGCTGTCTTCAACCTGTCCAAGCGAACCGGAAGCAACGAGCTTCCTGCTGGCTGCTGAGGGACGCACTCTGTTTATAGATTAGATTAAAAGAAAGTTTGAAAATCCGATCTGATAAGAGATTAACTTTATGCTTATATAATAGCCGAGAACCCGCCACTCGGTATAATTTTAATCCATATTAGTCATCGGGAATATAAAAAAAGCAAAGAAGAAAAGAAGAAGAAACAAGCAGAAAGAAGGCCGAGAGGAACGAAAACAAGAAGATCGATCAAGCGGTGAAGCTCAGATGAAGATGCAGCTTACACTCCATACTCCATACAGAATGCGGGCTTGATAAGGGTGCAGATGTTTGCATGGAAGAAGCCTGAGCCCTCCCCAGCTCAAGGATAGTGATAGAAATATTGATGTTTATATACGAAGGACCGCCCTAGACGATGAGTCAACGGAGAAGCTATACGAAGTACGTCTTACCCGAAGCGTCTCTCAGAGCCCCAAACAACAAGCTCTCTTTCGCAGGAGATCAAACAGAGATCCATCTCCGCTTCAAAGTGGTGATAGCTGCGATCAGACCAAGCAGCGGAGGCCGTAAAAGGGGAATATTCGAACAAGCAGCAATAATCAAGAACAAAGTCGAGTCCACTTCTGCACCCCACCGGCTGCAAAATGCCGAGATACGTCGACAGAGTCAGCAAAAAGGGCATCACGAGAACTGCCCCCCCCCCCCCCCTGTTCCTTCATCCTTGACGTGCAGCTTGGAGCAGCAGTCAAAACGGCCAGTCGTAGAGTGTGCTTGTCGCGGGATAACTAGCCATCTGGAGAAGCGTAAAGTATATAGGTCGAGTAGGCTCGGTAGGAATGCAATGCGAGTGCGAGGGTGGAGAAGGCTTGTCGCCCTTTGGTAGTGTTGAAAGCAACCACAGGGAGTGGTTTTTGGCTGTTCGGACGCCTCTCGTGGTGCTGGTCGGAGCCGTGCGACTACGAAAAACAAGTCTCTCCATGGCTCAGTCAAGTAAAGCCCTGGCAAGCTTGTTCGTATTAGTTGGTTCACCGTTGTTGTTATATTAGAAACAGCTTCTCGCTGTTCAAGTCCGCGGTTGCTGCCTGGCCTCGCCTCCCGCCATTCCCAACCACCCGCGAAATTTCATAACCGGCCAAACGACAAAAACGACAGAAAACGGATAGACTGGCAGAACATAGCTAGCCTGAGAGCAGACAGCTGCTGGCAGACGACAAGCTGATGACTGCAATGTCCGCGGCGTCTTGGTTTCCTTGTGCTGTGTTGTCGCTCATTGGCTAGGGAGCTCCGACCTGTCTGCATCCTTCGTTACTATTATTGAAATATAGCCATCATTAATCCTCCAAAAGCAGAGCTGGCAGAGAGAGACTGGCCAGCCAGAGCTCGTCTTCTTGCGTCTGTTTGCCATGGAAGACTGCGGTGGACGCCCGATCTGGGACGTCGATGACCTGTCAGAATGCTTCCAGAGAAAGTGAGCGAATCCTTGCTGAGCCCCTTCCTTTCTTTTTTCCACGTTTTCTTTTACACCCAATTTCTGGGATTCTGAAGGCATTTGTCTATGTCAACAGAGAGCTAATCGTGTCTTCCCCGTGAAATAGGTACCTTGGTTTTATTTTCCCGATAGCTGCCTGTGCGATCTCGCTGTTCTTTGTCCTTGCACACACCCTGCTTTATCGGATTGCCGAGTATCGAAGAAAACAGTATAAGAGCGTGCCCTCTGATATCGTGGACGTACATACAAATGGAGCTGAGGAGGTTGGCTACAGAGATGATGGAGATGAGGAGAGTGACTTGATGCTCAATAAGGTAATCAGCCGTACGGCAGATATACTGATTGAGCCTGATAAGCCGCGGTGGAAGACGCTGGTCAACACCGTCGAAATACTTGCCTTGGTTGGCCAGGTGGTTACGAACGGTATTTCCATTGCAGCTGTTGCCAATGCCACCGATTTCCAGATCTCTGCCATTGCCCGGTTGGCTTCGTGGACCTATATTCTAGCTCTAGCTGTTGGGCGAATTGCCTCTTCACCATCTAGATGCCCATCCCTACCAAAACTATGGAACCATACAGCCTCCCTATACTCACTGCAATGGCTCTTCATCGTCTTACCGTTCCGCTCGATCTTAATCCACCATCCAACGAGCATTGTTTTGCCACTCTTTGCTACTGATTTCAGTCTCTCCACTATACTATTCCTAATTGCTTTGACAACTCGCAAGGGCGAAGAGACAATCCTTGTCCAGCATGAAGATGGGCTAACCCCCCCTAAAGATCAGTTTGCCAGTCTTTTCTCCTTGGCTAGTTTCTCCTGGATGGATACTTTCATTGCTATGGGGTATAAGAAATCTTTGGAAATCAAAGATGTCTGGAACCTCAAGCCTGAGGGACATGCAACTGCGGTTCTGGCCAATTTCCGCCAGTATAAGAAGGCTTGCACTATGGCATGGAATCTCCTTGGATACTTTTCCCGGGATCTGTTTATCCAAGGTCTCTGGGCAATTCTAGCTGGACTTTTCACATTCCTCCCTACTTGGCTTCTTAAGTTCATCCTGGAGTATGTTGAAAACCCCGACGAGGTGCCCGTGAGTGCTGCATGGCTCTATGTCATCCTTATTTTTGTTTGTGGAGCTGTCATGGCTGTCGGAGATGGCCAGTCTCTGTGGCTCGGAAGGGAGCTTAGTGTCAAGCTCAGAGCCATCATCGTCGGCGAGCTATACGCCAAGGCTCTTAGACGTAAAGCTGGTGCGTTCGTTGGAAGTGCTCACAAGGATGAAGACGATACCAAGGATAAACTGAAGGGATCCAAAAAGGCAAAGAGCAAGGATAAAGACGACGGCAAGCCAGAGACTGAACGACAGGCAAACCTGGGCAAGATTATCAACTTGATGGCTATTGACTCGTTCAAAGTCAGCGAAATTTGTGCATACCTGCACTTCCTGTGGGCAAGTGTTCCCTCTCAGTTTATCGTGGCCGTATACTTCCTTTACCAAGTCATGGGAGTCAGTTCTCTAGCTGGAGTTGCAATGACGATCTTAATTTCCCCATTAAACGTTTACATCGCCAGCAGGTTCCGAGCTGTCCAGTATCAGATCCTCGCAGCCACAGATGCTCGTATCCACGCTACCAACGAAGTATTACAAAATATTCGAATTATTAAATACTTTGCTTGGGAGCATCGCTTTGAGGGCATCATCGACGAAAAAAGAAGAACTGAGCTAAAGTATATACGCTCCCGTTACCTGCTCTGGGCATGGGCTGTGACCCTTTTCTACGGAACACCACTTGTCACAACTCTCTGCACTTTCTACATTTTCACCCACATAGAAAACAAAAAGTTGATACCGTCAATCGCGTTCCCAGCCTTGTCTATGTTTTCCCTTCTTCGTGTGCCCCTAGATCGACTGGCCGACATGGCAGCTCACGTTCTGGAAGCCAAAGTTTCCATTGATCGTGTTGAAGAATTTTTGACTGAAGAAGAAACTGAAAAGTACCAACAACTAAAGGACTGCGATGATGAAGAACCTAAGATCTGTCTGGAAAACGCTACTTTGTCCTGGGGATCTAGCAGGATGGATTCTAACATCTTGGGTAGCACTGCTCCCGCTTTCCGACTGATTGATGTTAACGTGAATTTCCAACTTGGAAAGCTCAATATCATTGCTGGTCCAACTGGATCGGGAAAAACCTCCTTGCTCATGGCTCTCTTGGGAGAGATGAGCTTAATAAAGGGTTCCGTGTCACTTCCCGGAGCCACCAGCGACAGAGCTGACCTTCGTCCTGACCCAGTGACTTCATTGACAGAGAGCGTTGCTTACTGTGCTCAGGAAGCCTGGTTGGTTAACAACACTATAAAAGAGAACATCATTTTTGCATCAAGCTACGATGAGAATCGATACGAAGCTGTGATCAAGGCCTGCTCTCTGCAACGTGATCTAGAGATACTAGATGCTGGTGACCAAACTCTGGTTGGTGAGAAAGGTATCAGTCTTTCAGGTGGCCAGAAGCAGCGGATTTCTCTCGCTAGAGCAATGTATAGCAGTGCTCGCCATTTGCTCCTCGATGATTGCCTCAGCGCAGTGGACTCGCATACTGCTAAACACATCTTCAACAATGCTATTCTTGGTCCGCTCATGATGAACCGTACCTGCATCCTGGTTACGCATAATGTCTCGCTCGTCTTACCACAGGCTGAGTACGCCGTCATACTTAAGAACGGCCGTGTTACCGCTCAGGGATCTCCCAAGGATCTCATTGAGGCTGGTGCTATTGAAGATGATATTCTCAAAGCAGGCTCTGGTTCCCATGGACCCTCACAGCTGGCTTCCCGCGTGCCCTCGAATTTGGAAGAAGTTGTCGCTGCCCAAGCAAAGGACACTACTGCCGCAGGAATAAATGGAGCCGCTAGACCTTTGAAGAAGAAGAAAGCAACCGCAGCCTCACCACCAACTAATGAAGAAATGAAGGTTACTGGAAGTGTACCAATGTCCACTATCTACATGTACCTTCGTGCCATGGGTCCGTGGTACTACTGGGCTCTAGCAATGATATTCTTCGTCCTTCATCAGCTCGCATCTCTAGCACCAAATGTATGGGTCAGACAATGGGCCAATGCGTATGAGATCAGGAACAATACTCAGAGCGTATCAGCTGCTGGGTTCGATGTGCCCAGCTTGAATTTTGGGCGCACAGCCGCAACATCTCTTATGTCCCAAGCACCGAACGAGTCTCTGCTCTCTATCGCAAGAAGGAAATATGCTGACATCGACGAGTCGTACTACCTTTGGATGTACCTTCTGCTTACAATTGCCTACATTATCATTACTTTCATTAGAGAGTGGATTTTCTTCTGGGGGTCTCTTCATGCATCCATGAAAGTCCACGGTTGGCTACTTCGTGCCGTAATGCGAGCCAAGTTCAAGTTCTTTGATTCCACGCCTTTAGGCCGCATTATGAACCGCTTTTCAAAGGATATCCAGTCTATTGATCAAGATGTTGCAGTTACAGCCATTGGAGTCATACACTGCGCTGCGGCAATTGCCATGATTGTTATCCTTATTTCGGTTATCACACCACAATTTCTAATCGCTGGTGTCTTCATCACCATAATGTACATTGCTCTCGGAGCCTTCTATATTAACACCTCGCGTGATCTCAAGCGTTTGGAGTCCATTCAACGAAGTCCGTTGTATCAGCAGTTCGGCGAGACACTGAATGGAGTCGTTACAATTCGAGCCTATGGTGATGGTGCACGCTTTATTTTGGACAACCATGGTCTTATCAATACCTACAACAGACCTTATATCTATCTATGGGCAGCTAACCGATGGCTCGCTTTCAGAATTGACATTATCGGTGCACTTGTGTCCTTTTTTGCGGCTGTCTTCCTTATTTTAAGCGCTAGGAAAGTGGACGCCGGTGCCGCTGGTCTAGCAATGACTTATGCCATTACCTTCTCTGAAAACATCCTTTGGTTAGTCAGACTCTACTCTGAGAACGAGCAAAATATGAACTCGGTTGAGCGTGTGGAGGAATACATGAAGGTGGAACAAGAAGCACCAGCTCTAATAGCTGAAACCAAGCCGGCCGGAGTATGGCCAAGCAAGGGTGCTGTCAAATTTGTCGATTATTCTACCAGATACCGTCCAGATCTCGATAGAGTGTTGAAGAATGTGAGCTTCGAGATCCAACCCGGTCAGCGTGTTGGTATTGTCGGTAGAACCGGTGCAGGGAAGAGTTCCCTAGCATTGGCCCTTTTCAGAGGACTCGAGGCAGAAACTGGAAAGATTCTAATTGACGATGTCGATATTGGATTGATCGGTCTGCGCGATCTCAGACAAAACATCACCATCGTGCCGCAAGATCCCACTCTTTTCACGGGAACGATTCGAACCAACCTGGATCCTTTTGGCTTATTTACCGATGAGGAGATCTTCACCGCTTTACGACAAGTTCATCTAATCGGTCCCGCCGGTTCTGAAGAAGTAGAACCGCCGTCAAGTAGCTCCGCAGCCGAAAATGCCGAACCAGCCCAATTGCTGCTTGAAGATGACACCACGCCCAACACTCCTCAAGACTCCAACACCCTAGTTGGTACCGCAAATGGCAGCACAACCGATACGGATTTTGGCGCAGCACACTTACAAGATAACAAAAACATCTTCCTAAACCTTGAATCAGCCATCACGGAGTCTGGTTCTAATCTTTCTCAGGGCCAGCGACAACTTCTGTGCTTAGCCAGAGCGCTACTAAAATCTCCAAAAGTCCTTCTCATGGATGAAGCAACTGCTTCAATTGATTATGCCACCGACTCCAAGATTCAAGATACTCTTCGTGAATTAAGGGGTAACAACACCATATTGACAATCGCACATCGTCTTCAAACTATCATCGATTATGACAAAGTCCTTGTCCTTGATCACGGTGAGGTGAAGGAGTACGATGGCCCATGGCAGCTGATTAACCAGGAAGGGGGAATTTTCAGGAGTATGTGTGAGAACAGTGGAAATATGGATTCGTTGTTAGAAGCTGCAAAGAAAGCCTGGGAGCAGCACAGATTGGTGGATGATTCCTAGAATATCAACTAGGGCGAATCCGTCTTGTTGCTCTTTGCTTCATTTCGGCGATCAAAAGAAATTGTACCTTTCCCCCCGTATTCTTATAATATTTTGTGTTTAAGTCTCTTTCAATAACCTACAGTAGCTACTGCCATTGGAAAAACTGTTCATTGGTCTACTGTTGTCTTTTTTTGCTTTAGCAGTTATACGTAATGCAAAGCTATTAAACCGTAGTGCAAAGGTCTTCCCCCTTAATACCGCCCGATAGCCTGTAAGTTCTCTCATTTTATCATGGAAGCATCTCTTTGTGTCATTTTCTCTCTTGCTATTGGCCTAAGTCTAGTCGTCCAAACACTGAAACACTCAGTATCGCCACCTTCGGGTCCCAGAGAATGAATGATAACAATATGATCCTTCGTTCCATGAAGACTATAGATATATCATCACAACCAAAGAGAGGCCTTCGCTAGATGCTGGGTATCAATGATACACGGATGGTGTGGTTATTCCAACTTAATCAAGTAAGTTAGACGACTTCCTGCCATTGGTATTTTTGTTAACAGGAAGGATGTTTGAGTAGAATTGGGTATACTTCCTCCTAACACCACCGCTCTCGTCCGATATCAGTTCCGATCTTTCTTCCTTGTCAGTTGTAAGAGGGCTATTCGAGCTTTCGTCCCCAAATAAATCCGTGAAAGCTTCCTTATCCAATTTCTGTAGGTTTTCTTGCAGTGCCAGTTTTTCTGCTTCTTTTGCAAGCCGAGCGTCTTCTTTCTGCGCACCACCGGATGCAAAGGCTTGGTATCGTTTAGCAAGCATAGCACGCTCCTCAACGCTTTGTTGGGGGAGGAACTCCGCTTCTCGAGGAGTAATAGAGCGGCTTTTTGGTACATTTGCCAGAGCTTGCCGTGTGGCCGCAATACACGGACAACTGCAGCTACGAAAGCATCGCTCCATACATTTATGACCGCATGGCAGCATTCGATCGCAGTTCACTTGGCATTGTAGTTTAGAGTGATGGATGCTATTTATGTTAAGGTCAGTGAGTAAATTTGCAAGCACTTAAGAGAACTGGGAGAGCTCATACGCATGGCATAGTAGGGGACATGTATGCCCGCACTGCAACTCCTCTCCACACCTCTGGGAGCAACCCCCATCATTATTTGACCATTGATCTGGGTCTAAAGATAGCCATTAGCATGATTGGATTGGAGTTATATTCAAGGGATGTGGCATCATACTGCTGATCAATGTCTTGGTCCCATGCTTTTTGCACATCAGAGGAAGGAAGTATCCAAGTCGTTTTGGTGTTTTTCTCATAATTCGTGACACTTCCCACCACAAACCATTAGTGATAGCAAGGGATTCAGCATTCCCAAAAATATAAAATCCTCGTTTGGCACGGGATAACGCAACGCAAACGCGATTCTCATTTGCAAGAAAACCAATATTATCTGCTTCATTGCTCCGAACCAAAGATAGAATCACAACTTCGTTCTCTTCTCCTTGGTAGGAATCGACGGTGACCACCTTTGTATATTGGCCTTGGAAAAGTTTATTTTCTTTCAACGCTCTGAGAATGAGCTTCCGTTGCCCATTATAGAACGTCAATATGGTAATATCCTCTAAGGGTACACCGTTCATGTGCAAGTAGACATAGAAGCCTACAATCATCTTTGCTTCCTTTTGATTGTACCTTGACGACAAGCTGTCAGGAGATTCAGTCCACTCATGAGTAAAAAAGTAAGAGTTGATTCCTCCCATCCCTGGAACATCTTGGCGGTCTAGGACGCTGGGATGGTCGTTTAGATCATTGTAAATAGGTGAGAGGATGCGTCGAATTTCTGGAGCCATGCGCCTCTGGCTGGTCAATCTTTTGAACGGAATTTTGTTTCGAACAAGCCTCTCGAACATTGAGATGTTCAGGTAGAAGGGTTCACCTTCAAGCTCCTGCATAGAACAACTGCCCCTAAGTTGTTGGTGATCTCCAACTAAGATAAGGTGTTGCAAGGATTCCATGCATGCTGCGGCCACAGGAGCTTCAAGTACCTCAGCCGCTTCTTCAATAAGAATGATTCTGGGCCGCAGGCTAGAAACAAGAGCGCGGTATTTGCTCAAGCCTGTAGTAGTCATACCAACTACTCGTGAATCCCGCAGTATTAGAGAATCCCTTTCCCATTTCCCAATCTTTGCGTTTGTGCATGCCACATTGTACTTCTTTAGACTATGACAAACCTTTTCACGAATGGCTTCCTTTGCCCGTTTTTGAAGGAGTGAATAAGTTGCAGCACGCACGGCACTGGGAATCTTCCACATATCATCATACTTCATATAAACAGCTTCGATGGACTTCTCGGAATACGTGCGAGGTCCTCGAGTTGTGAATAGCTCTCTCATAGCAAGGAATTGACCCTTCAGGACCTCATAGTCGTCATCATCCAGACCATGTTCAGCCTCAAGTTCCTTCAGTTGCTCATACTCCATGTCAATTTCTTCTTCAGAAAACCCGAAATTTTCTTGTCTGTATACTAACTCGAATTTTGTTAGAGTATCTCCCAGCCAGACTGACATTGGATCAGTCTGATCGCCTGCTCGTATCCATCCCGCTGCTCCTTTAATGAGCGAGTCGTGTTGAGCTATCGAGATAATTCCCAAGTTTAAAAACAGCGATGGTTGTAGAGGTGAGTGTGAGTTTTCTGCTCGAAATGGAGAAAGCAGTTCAATAATTTGATCTGTAAGATCGCGTAACTCTTTTCTAGCGGGGACAAGGCATCCTCCAATAGCAGGTGGCAAGTTGGTCTTTTTCCGCAATTCGAAGACGGTACGTGTCCTGATTTCGGAATCTGTGCTTCTTCCACCAAGCCGAACATAGCTTTGTTCGAACTTTGATATGTGACGAAGTAGCTGGTCCAAAGCATGGTTAGTCTGTGCGGCGATGATTATGGGGGGATCACCCTGGCGAAAGTTTTCTAGCATCACTTTTACTGCCACAACGGAGACATGAGTTTTTCCAGTACCTGGGGGGCCTTGAACAATTGACAGTTTATTGGTCAGTATTTGCTGTAGCGCGTTCCACTGAGAAGAATCCAAAGTATCGGGGTGCGCAGGCCATCCGATGCTTGTATTAACCTTTTGAAGGTCTTCATCCTTAGAAGGTAGCACGCTAGACATCTTGACCAATGGATCGTCTTTTATATATTGGGGCGGCTCAATTGTAGGCTTAAGATCACAGATATGCTCTGAAAGTGGAAAGCTATATTTTTTTACTGTTAGTATTGTGACATATTTGCAGCACAGGGCATGACAGTTTACCTCTCGCCTGACATCTTCTGTAGAGCACTCAGGGTATGCCTGGAAGCTTCGAAGTACCCAACTCGGGCCTCTACCATAACCCATTCCTGTTGATAATTAAACTCGAAGTCTTCGTGACGCGCAAAAAATATATCAATCTCCGGCGGGGACGCCTTCAAGCCATCTAATGGCCTTGCAGCAACGGTGGCTACAATGCACTTTTTCTGAAAGGAATCACTTGCTGGAGACAATGCAACAATATTTCCTGTCATTAGACGCTTTGAGTATTCCCATACAATTTTCTTTCCCGCTCTGAAAGTCGAAAATTGGATCCTGGCAGCAATCCCAGCTTGTGCAAATGTTACCCCAACGATATGAACCTAGACGCTGCGTTAAAATCGGTCTGCCTATCAATCCTTGGAAAAGTAGTTACCTTTTCGTAAATACAGCATTGAGATGAGTCAGACATCTTTGGATCATGACGAAAATATGCAACTGCATCTCTTAACGGCGCAATTGCATCCTCACGAAGTAGCTCGTAGTGAGTCTTGAGATAAGTATCCTTTGATGGCCAAGGGCCATAAATCTGGTTGACACCAAGTGAGATCACTTCTTCATCGTCAAGGCCCAGAATCTCCTCGGAAGAGGGTAGTTCAGGGTTAGCTGTCCAAGTTCCAGGTGTACCAGAGTGATCTGAGCTGGTAACATATTCCTTAATCTCCTTATCAATATGAACTGTTGGGTGAACTTCACTGAGCGAGTGAGAATTCACAGGCCAACTTCGGCCTCGGCCTCGACTGCGGCCCCTACCGCGTTGGATCGCTCGACCTCGCATCACTGCCTCAGTCTAGCTAGCGATAGTGGTACAAGCCTTGAGAAAATGGCAAAAGAGCCCTCAAATCATGTGGTAATTTGAACCGCCAATATGGGATTTTGAGATGTTGATGTCGGATAGAGCAAGTTCAGGAAACAGAAAAAGAGGAGACGCGGAAAAGAGGAAATGATTGATATAAATTAACTAAACAAAGCGAGCCAAGAGTGAAGCGAGCGGAATTTGCCGGTATATAGAGGACAGCAAAGCACAGAATATAATGATAGGAGAGAGCCAGCGAGAGGAAGGGGGTTTATGGGTGTTGTGTCTTAGTCCTAGGGCAATTGCGAAGGACAAAATACTACAACACAGTCAAAGCAAGATGTTGAGAAGGTGCTAGAAGGGGGCAGACAGACGGAATAGAAAGTAAGGAGAGCAAACACTAGCGTTGCTAGTACTAGATGTTAATATCGGATACAATCTAAGAAAACCCTTGGTAACAAGAAAAATAAGTTGGGACCATTTTTCTTTATCTTGAGTAAAAAAAAAGGTGTAATATAATCAAGATGCGGGATACTGCATCTATGGTCTAATTGATTGGAGGCAGAATGAGACATAACCAGCATATTCGATCTTCTCAAGTATTAAACAGGACAGAGATGTCAACAGCAAACGCAGAAATTCGCGGGTTAGCCACGCTATGGATCCAGAAGGGAAGTTGATATGTATATATATGGAGGCTTGTAGCGGCAGCTAAGAGAATATATTCTCTTAAAAAGGTCAAAAGCGTAGTAGAGACGGCAGCTTAGCATGTTTCGTCTCATGGTTGACAAGTTCAAGTCGAATGGAAATGGGTCTCATCAGGTGGACCAATGGACAGACAGTCGGATTAAGATTTTTCCAAAAGCGCTATTAGGCGCCCGAAGCGCCCAAAGCGCCCAGTCGCGGCTAACCTCTTCTACGGCTTTCTTTGCGCCATTCGAGAAGGCGACCAGGGACTTCCTCATGCGACCATTAGGGCTTCTTACGTCCTGTTTACTTTGCTGTCTGTACGGGCGCATGAAGCCTCTTTAAAGACAATGCGTTCTTTACTCACGGAAGCCTGCTGTGCAAGTTATATTTTTTACACCTAGTTCCTGGCGCACCGGAGATTGATACCACCTCGAATCAATAACCTACCTCCTCTCCCTTCAATTCTCTATATAGAGCGGTATCGAATATAAACTCCCCAGAGTCGATTCGCAATGCCTTCAATTTTAGATGATGACGATGATCGAGATTTGATCGGTGAGTTTGGCAACTTAGCAAAGCCCCGCGGCGATAGCAAGCATGGCGCAGAGCTAATACAGTCTGTCACTTTAAAAGGATCCCAAGATGGCAGCTCAGATGGCGGCATGGACGATACCATGCAAGATATGGATGACATGGAGGTTGATGTTGAGCCTGAGCCCGAGCCCGAGCCCGAGCCTAATTCTCCTTCGAATTCCAGTATCGTCGATTCGGAGCACCATGCTAGAAACGCACAAAATCCTGAAGTGATAATTACGGCCCCTGCGCTCGATCCAGTTCCCGATCAGCCCTTTATGTACAGGCCACAGGTCCGTCCGGAAGCGCTGGCTGCTGCAACGTATGATATTGTGCCGACAACAGCTGCTCCCCATAGCACTTCCATCAATGCTGTCACTTCAACAGCCGATATGCGCTGGGTATTTACCGGCGGCTCGGATGGATATGTGAGAAGATTTAACTGGGTCGATTCTATCAACAGCAAGCTCATGCTCACTGTTGCGCAGCGTCATCCATTTGTCGACAGCGTTGTCAAGGCTGGCGTCTTGGTGAATTACTGGGAGAACATGGATGGTACTGCAATGTCGCCGGTATACTCCCTTGCAGCTCAAGCAGAAGGTCTATGGCTTCTTACGGGCTTAGAATCGGGTTTCATTCGATTACAATCAGTTCGTCATGACGAGGGTAAAGAAATCGCAGTACTCAAACAGCATACCTCTGCCGTATCAGTTTTATCTATTACCCACGACGAGAGATCGCTTTTGTCAGGCAGCTGGGATAAGAGAGCGCTGGAGTGGGATCTCGATACTGGAAAAGTGAAACGCACCTTTGGGCCAAGCATTGGACAAGTTTCCGCGATTGAATTCCGTCCTGAATCAAGCCTCCCCGTCCCACGGGAGATTGTGGAGAAGCCACTAACAAATGGCACATATTCATCTAATAACCGTGCTGCCCCATCAACCAACCAAAGTTTTGTGAATGGCGGAGGAAATAGTAAAGATGGACAGATTGGCGACCAGCCTGGATCTCCTGCCGATTCTCTATTTGAGGCGGACTCGCTTTTTGGAGATGCAGAGGGTGGTGGTGATGCTGACGCTCCGTCTGGTGGCGCATTTGCAGCAGAAGACGATGAGTTCTCCCAAGCGTTAGCTAATGGGATAAAACAAAAGCAACAGGCGCCACGAAAAGATGCGGATGACAACACTCCAAATGCAATGCCTAATGGAATAGTCTCGAATTCGGAATCGCTGATCGAAAACGTCCCCGAATCAGGCTCCTCTAGCCAACTTCAAACAACTAAGCAAGAGCCGGAAGACTCCCAGGTCAATGGGATATCTGACTCCGTAATGAGTGGCCTCCCACACGCCGAAGATATGGAGTCTTCAGCAACAACCATGGAGAAAAGTGCCACAGCGAGTGACATGAATTCTCTCGGAAATTCTAATAGCACTTTCCTGTCTGCTTCTATTGATGGGACAATTCGAGTGTGGGATCGTAGGCAATCAGATCCAATTGCCCGCATAACGCCGCGAAACAGTCCACCATGGTGCATGAGTGCTTGCTGGTCTCCTGATGGCAATTATATCTACGCCGGTAGACGAAATGGTACTGTTGAGGAGTATAGTTTACACAAAGGCCTTCGGGATCCCCAGAGAACCTTTAAATTCCCACATGGAAGTGGCGCTGTATCCTCTGTTAAAATAATGCCTAACGGGCGACATCTCATCTGGTAAGTTACTCCTTCAGCCTTTCCTTTACTCATTCTTCGGATAATATAAATATCTGGTAATCTCTCTCGCAGATTGCTAATATATTCTTTGTACCGATAGCGCTTCTCACGATATTTTACGCTTGTATGACTTGAAGGAAGACCAGAGCTCTAGATCCTCGGTTCCCTTCCTCATTATACCCGGCCATCGTACAGGTACCATTTCCCAGCTTTACATGGATAACGCCTGCAAGTACTTAATTTCTACCGGTGGAAACCGAGGATGGGAAGGGTCAACGACAGAAGTCCTTCTTGGTTATGAAATATCTGCCTTACAGTCCCAATCCTAACTAGAACGCATATTCTATGTGCTGCCTATTTCCCTGATTTAATTATCAGTATCTAACAACCTCCTACATCTTACTGATACCTTTTTGATTTTTTTTATTTAACTTTTGTTGTTGCTCACCGGCTGGCATCAACAGGTATTGCGATATCCCTTTTTACATTCTATGGGTTCTATCAGGTCTGGTCGGTGGATGGCGTTTCTGTCGAGGTCGATGCAGCGAGCTTATGTTTATTCTCATTCTGCAGCCTTTTCTGGGAGACACTCAATTCAAAAGAGGAGGCAATCCAATGTATTAGAATACGTATATATTTCACTATACAGCCTCCTTTCAATATAGCTTCGTTAATTACTGTCTGTGAGCCATCCCTTAAATCATCTAGCTTCATTCTAATATATTTATTAAACTCGTTATGTTCATCATCATGTTCACAGGCGAACGTTAAATATTCGGATATCTTGCATAAAAATCAATAAGAAATAATCCAAAATCCATGACAGGGAGCCGCCCAAATTCCATCCATTCCATCATACCCCATAGGAATACATGATAAATACCAAATATGCCACCTCCAACTTAATCTTTCAACAGGGCCAGCAAATATAAATCAACCCCCACACCTTTAATTCATAAGAACTCGAGATTAAAGGCCGAGATTAACACCTTCACATACAGACTGGACTTGCTTCTTCCATTCGGTATAATGCATGTCCGCCCTGCCGCCTCTATGTACCATGCCGCTTTCAAAGTAGACATATGCGGGGCCCGGATGTCTTCCAGGGGACTCGGATGATTCCATGACATAATTCATCTGCTGCATTGTTTCCGAGTTTAGGATATGAGGTTTGGATGGTGCTTTACCACCCATGCCAATGGAAGTCTCACTGGCCACTAATAACGCGGGAGGTAATTGGTGCTGGGTTATAGAGAGATGAGTTGATACCCAGGTAGGTGCAATCATGCTAGAGGAACCCACTCGCATGGTCTTCACAATATCAGATATAAGCATCTGGTCCAACTTATCAATATTGACGATATGGCCAGGAGAACGCAAGAACAGAACCCGCTCGTAATCAAGTAGCTGTTCCGATGCCTTTTTCATTATCTGTGTTTCCGATAATGCCTTTGGTCGTATATTAGAGGTATCAACACCTTGAACAACAGCATTCAACCTAGTACTTGACTTCTTCAGGATGGCGAGAGCCGATGAGACGCTCTTAGTTGGAGAGCTAGCATCCCATGCCTTTGGATATAGAAGAATTCTCTCCGAGATCTGAGAGCTGTTTGATGCAAGTCTCTCGAAAAGGAGTATAGTAGAGCAAATGTCGGAGGCGACCGGTTTCGTCAATATTTGTAAGAACGCATGCTTTGACTTGGCTATCCCTCCTTCGATCTCCTCGTTTTCTTCGGCGAGCCCGTCCAGCACATATTCTTCTGCTCCTTGGCTTAATTTTGTCCGTCTACCCAAAATATGGCTCTTTCTCTTGGTGTCAGGGCTCCCAACTGGCTCAGGGGATAGGTCGGTGTCATCCCATGTCTGCTCTGAAGGATATATCGGTTGGATTTTGGGGTTTGCTGCTGGTGATCGCTGCAATGCCACTTGTATATGCTTGACCGACTGTTGCTGCAAGGCATACCCGGATAAAAAGAGAATAAGAGTGAAAAATCCGAATATTGACGAGGATAATGCGACTCCAACGGTAGAAGAGCTAAGTAATACCATGGTGTAAACAAAGGTTTATGCGGGCGCGGAGCATGGATACAGCCGTGTCATTAGGAGAAATAAAAATAAAAACAATAAGAATATGGACGAGGTGCTTTTGATGCTATAAGTAAGTTGAGATCATGGACCCATTGCCTCATAGGACCCTTGAAGCCCATGTCGCAGCGTTGGTGAGTTATTGTCAACGGGCCCTGAGATGGCGGTTGGAAGGGCAACCGGCTTATCGATAAAGCCCGCCAACCTTAATTTGATGCCGACGATAAAATACCACCAAGCTTCGATTTCTTCAGGCCGCCAGCATCCATTTCACCGAGAGTAGCTTTGTGACCTTCTTCCCGCGTTCGACACATATTTACCGATTAACTGCACGAAATCGAACCGAAGGATGTCTCATCATCGCGCAGATGCAAGTGCTCTTCTCGATACTCGTGGCTATTCAGGCCCCCTGATTCGCGGCGTGAACCCAGCAACACTCTTCGAGAAAGCAGTTCGAGATCGAATAACGGACTCCTACTACTGGAAAGAGCAGTGTTTCGGACTGAATGCGGCGACTCTTTGTGACAGAGCGGTAGAGTTAACTTATATCGGCGGCACCTACGGCGTGGGCCAGAAGCCAACTCCTTTCCTCTGCCTTGCTTTCAAGCTCCTCCAACTTGCGCCAGAGAAAGAAGTGATATTGGAATATTTGAATTTCCACGATCCAGAAGCAGATGAGGAGGATTTGAAGGTTAGGGGGGATAGCACGGACGCAGATGGAGGTGCAGGGGATGCACAGGACAGAGCTGATGCAGCAATACTAAAAGCTACGGGGGATTTCAAATACCTGCGCGCGCTAGCAGCGTTTTATATACGACTTACTTTCGAGCCGGTGGAGATATATAAAACGCTGGAACCACTTTTGACGGACTATAGGAAGCTGAAGAGGCGCACCAAGGAAGGCTTCTTGCTAACCTACATGGACCAGTTTGTTGACGACCTACTCACTAAAGATCGCGTGTGCGGAACTAGTTTATGGAAGATACCAACGAGAACCATATTGGAAGATTTGGATATGCTCGACGAACGGATCAGCCCTTTGAATGATGAGCTGGAAGATCTAGATGAAGAAAGTGAAAAGGAAGACAACAAGGAGGAAGGGGAGAATGGCGAAGAAGAGGCCGCCAGTCCGTGATTTATCAGAGGCCCTTGAAACATAAAAAATATGTTTAGATATTGCAATAAGTCTATCTAGCCAAAGCTCTGTCCGGCGAGACCGTGATGCAGATTGGAGCAACTTCCGAGTTATACTACGGGGATTCTGAGTTATACTACGACAATCCCCGTAACATGGCGATTTTCAAATGCGCCACCAGACTTATTGCAGCGTGACATAGAGCGGTCGCAGACTCTAAACCCAATGTGTGTGTGTGTGTGTGTGTGTGTGTGGGGGGGGGTGGGGTGTTTTTGGGGGGCAACTGTTCCCCAGGCCATCCTCCCGCTACGAAGGCAACGAACAAAAAGACCAGTAATATTATTCACATGTTGAAGCCTCTTATACGGCATATCTGAGACAGCGTCGCCATCTGATCATTATCGCTTGGTTAGTACAACATCGCAAGAGGGCAAGAAATGAAGGCAATGGCAACTGGCAATTCCAATAAATGGGCACACAACCATACTTGAAGCATGAATTCGGCCATTATTTAATATTTTAATAAATCTCGCATGATAATCTGCTTATACAACAGTATATAAGCTATGGCTACCGCCTAGGTTGTCTCTATAGTACTAATAATCACTGAAATGCCGTCAGCAATGCCATTTTTGTTTCAACCCGTGAAAAAGGGGCTTAGATCTAAAATATGGACGCATTGATTCCACATAGATTGCAAATCACATCCCCACCGGTTCCTTGCAGTGAAGTTCTGCCCAGGAAGATAGTCTAGAATATATCTCTTGAATCGGTGATACAACTTCCTTCGCTGTGTGACCCGATCCATGCGATTATTTTCCAGTTTTAACCGCCAATCAGTCCCCGGTTTAGATAGTTTTCTTAAAGGCATGCCATATATGCCAGGCCGGGAATAAAGCCATTGGAATACGACATATAAAATGATTAATGATAGTTTCCACGGAGTTTTCTATACATCTCTGGAAATGGTTTAGTATATTAAATTTTAGGCTGGGGTAATAGAATTCTGCTCAGGAACTCGCATATCCGGACAGCATGACATCAAATGTGTTGATGCCAGCACCAAATCTATTTTATCCTCACATAAATGGCATCTGTTAAGTCCAATCAGCGAGTATCTTGGTATCTGATATTCCATTTGGCATTTTAGTAATGTATCTATGCAGATGATGCCTATGGTTTGGAATATCCCATGGATGGCGGCTCGTGCTTTGGTAGATGCTGTGGCCGTGAATCCCGCCACAAATAAACGGCTATCAAACAATTCACAATGAGGGAATCTTGGATCAAGGTCTAGGTATAAGTCTGGCCCCAGAGGAGACATATAAGCGTTGATACCCTCGTCAGGGATAGGGTAAGAATGGACTGCATCTGTCTCAGTTGGTCAGAACGGCCATGATGCAGCCATGCTGTGGCCGGCCTGCCACAAACCGCGAACCGATCTCATCATTTTCGTCTCTTGTGTTCATCTTCCTTCACTGTCTTCTTCTCGTCTTCTTCTCGTCTCCCCCGTCAGCTGGATGGTATCGCCCGATCGGGTAAGTGGTCTTCCTGATGCCTTAAAACAGCCATTTGGTACCCTTGATTGCACGTGATGTCGGATTTTTCAACCTCACTTTTTGTTGTTTGCGTTTGTGAATTTTCGGCGGATATGAAAACATGACGAGAAGCTCTACAATCGCTTCTTGTTTTGCACGACTTTCGGGATGAGAAAGTTGAGAAATGGGGGGATATGCTGCCATATCTACGAAGTAGAGCACTCTGGGAATTGAGTCCAGCTGAAACACGCTCGAGCTCTGCCACCGGCGTCGCACCGATGTGATATCACTCGAGCACATCTTTGCAGGTTCACTCCATAACTAACTAGCTAACTAACTAACCAATGCCTTGTGAGAGCCAGGCATCATGGCTGGAGGGCAAAAGCTACCCTCCCTTCCAATGACTGAAAATTCGGCTACATTTTGGGAGGGAGGGAGAAGTTTTCGCACAGCTCACATGGAAGATCAACTAACTAGGGCATGGCTGAAGCAGCCACTGGTCCCGTCTACCACGCTTGCTTTCTCGTTTGGGGGCTTGTTCTCTCAGCGAACCATTTCCCCTCTTTCCTTTTCGCTGCATGCATCGGCTGGCATGGCTACGGCTGGAGGATGGTCTTGGATGCAGCCCATGGAGCACTTGATTTCATGGCTTCCAGACAAGCTTCTTGAGGCGTGGTGCCAATATTGCCTCAAGAATATCGGTCCTACCGATGGAGCATCAGAACCCCCACTCGCATCAAGGGACGAAATTCTAAGATGGCAGGACAAGATGTTTGGCCCCCAGCCCTGGATTCTCTCCTTATGATTCAGTGCGGCGTTTACGAGATCTTCTCGTCGTCTTGCAATGCGGAATCCAGAGTCTAAATCCTTAGCCTAAATTTGAGACGATTCCTCGAATGCAGCCATTGGCTCAAAATACCCTCCCTTGAATTTCTATCCAGACCGGCTACTCCTAACATGCTGTTGACGTTACTCAAGACCGTATATCTTACTTAAAAGTATGGGCCATGGTGCTGCAGCTGTCGTCAGGATTTGAACGGTAAACCCTTAGGCGATGCCAAAAGCTATTCCCATTGGATATCGATATGCTGTTCTCTTGCAAGGCAAGGTTTGCCTTGTATGATGGCGCCGCTGAAGTGATGGCAAGGGACGGTAGGACCTCTCTCAGTAATGTACAACCAATGCAGAAGATACGGAGTATATAGAACAAAGCCTTTTTCTCGCTGGATTTCTGGCAATCTGGCAAGAGTTCACCTCCCTCTCATCTAGCCCATTCAATGCCAAACTGCTAGGGAGAGATTTTGTCCTTCTTGTTCTCCGGCACAATGCTTTCCTCAATCAAGGAAAACTCCAACCTCAAAGAGGAGAACAAAAACAATGGGTTCCAAGTTGACCTTGAGAATACCGGGTCTTTGGACCAGAAGGCCGAAGCCCGTAATGGGGACTCAGTCCAGTCTGATGATTCTTCAAGCGATACTCCTCCCATCAAGACCCTCAAGATTGAGCGCAGTCTTCGCCAATTCGAACTATGGCTGGGTCGAAAATTCCACATTGAGACTCGAGGAATTGAACGGGTAAAAGAAGAAGATAAGGAGCCACCACCGCTTCGAAACACATTCCTCATGTGGTGGAGTATGTTTTGCAACCCCGGAGGCCTCCCCATAGGTGTCCTCGGAGCCCAATGGGGGCTTTCCTTACAGGAGTCGGTAATTGCTACTGTTGTCGGTACCATTATAGGTGCACTCTTGGTTGCATGGTGCGGTGTACTGGGCGCAAAGGTGAATGCTTCCCTATTCTATTATTTCGTGCTCGGGCTGACAGGTTCCCTTATGTAGCTTGGACTGCGTTCCATGGCAACTTGCAGATACTCGTTCGGATATTATGGCGCTAAACTTATATCTATCTTGAACTTGCTCTTGGGTATCGGATACGCTGTCATCAGTACTACCGTCTGCGGCCAGTTACTCCCAGCCGCCGCAGACTACAGAATCTCGACTAGCGTCGGCATCTACATTGTCTCCGCTCTGTCCCTTTTTATCTCTTTCTTCGGCTTCTCACTTATCCACAAGTTCGAGAGTTACTCATGGATACTTGCATTTATACTTTTCTGTGTCCTCCTTGGACAGACAGTGCCACACCTGACTCCCGAAATGATCCAGTTTAATCCTCACCGGGAAGGCTTCGCAGCTCTTTTCCTGTCATACACATCGTTCACTGCAGCCGGTACATCTGGCTGGGCTACAGCCATCGGCGACTACTACTGCCATTACCCAAAGTCAGTTCCTCACTGGAAAATCATGTTATTGACCCTCCTCGGGTTTTCCGCTTCGTCTGCCTTTGTGGCCATTGTCGGAGCCTGCGTTGGACTTGTTGCTGTTCATGGGGAAAGCCACTTCCAGCAATCATATGCCATGCATGGCTTGGGCGGAATCGTAGCGGAAATATCACACCCTGTCGGATGGTCCAAGTTCCTGGTTGTCATGATGCTATTCACCGTTATCGGAGGCTTGATCGCAAACTACTACTCCGCCGGCCTGTCAATTCAGATCTTGGGTCAACACTTCCGCTACATCCCACGTTTTTTCTGGAGTTTGCTCATTGCGGTGCTCATCACTGTGCTCTCTCTGCTGGGCAAAGATCACATTGTTGAGTTGGTTGGAAACCTTGGAAACATGCTTGGATACCTGACCGCCGGTTACTCCGTCATTGTGTTCATCGAGGACCAATGGTTCAGGAGGCGGGATGGGTACGACTTGCAGGCGTGGGATAACAAAAACGGGCTTCCATGGGGTGTGGCAGCCGTGGGAGCAATGGCCGTGTCCTACGGTACTGGTGCCGTCCCCGGAATGAACACAACCTGGTATATCGGGCCCATTGCTGCCATGTTTGGCAATCCAGCAGGTGATGTAGGTCTTATCCTGAACACTGTCTTTACTGCCTTTACCTACTTTATCTTCCGGACTGTCGAGAAAAGGTTTGTTGGACGGTAGTCAGAGGCTGCCAGGTACAGAGACGAGAGTTTGGCAATTGGTATTCCACTGCCACTTTCAGAAACGAGTAATGATAGGTGTGAATTTATATCTCTCACTCTACGGTCTATATTTGATTTAGCAATAAAGAAATGTTCAATTTTTTTTCCACTTGATCAGCCATCCATCTCAAAGTTGAGGATGGCAGCCTTCACCTATCAATCCATCAAGGTTAACCATGTCTGCTACGGATTGCTCGAACCAACAACCCCCACGGTCAAGCCATGAAACGTCAAAACATTGAGCATCTCTGCTCATAGGCAGACGTCGTCTTGCCTGCTCCATCTGATGAGACATGCTGCACACCTCCTGTGGAACACAGTGACGACAAGCCGTCGATCATCAAGGACTCCCCTGCCACACGATCTCCACCAAGACGGTGGGAAGACATGACAAGACAGTTGATTCTTCGGCAAACCCACCGAAACATTCTTTCAGGCAAATGCAGGGCACGACGATTCAGAAAGTCACACAGGATCAATAAGCTATCCGGCAAGACTCGGAGAGGGGGAGGGTTCTTGCTCCCAATCTTAGAGAACAGAAGCAAAAAGTGAAATTGAACATATTAACGTTTTTTTTTTTTTTTTCTCTTTAAAATTATTTTTTTGGTCTTTGGTTACTTTCAAAGGGCTATTTAAATGCAAAAGCTAGCACTGGGGGACATTAGAGAAGAAGTCTGCTGCTGCTGGAACCACCAGTCAGTTCGGGGGATCTTTCTGAGTCTCCCTCCCACTTTAAATGAACAAGATAAAATAAAAGAAAACAAGTGAAAATAAAAAAACACAATCCACTTAATTCCCATAGTCGACCTGTCCTCTGTCATATGTTGTTGTAGAATGTTGTTCTGGGTCGATGGTAGTTGAACCGATTGGTTTCATGTGCGGACTTTGGTTGTGGTACAGAGCGACGGGGCCGAAGGAATAAAAGTGAATCCCAGGATGCATGTAGGGCTTTTTGTGTGTATATGAAAGACAAAGCCGAATGACAGAGACGAAAGAAGGGAGCAGAGCAGATAACGCAAAAACAGCCCCCCGTAGTGCCTTGATTCCCATGATTTACAGTTCCGGTTTGACGCCAATGATAGTTGCTAGTTCGAGTAAATGCATCGTGAAAGAAAGGGGATGGAAGGAAAAGATATTGGTATCTTAGAAAGGAAATAGACGGAAAGAAGATGTCTTATGGGAATAGGAGAGGACAATCTCGAAAAGTGAAATATGAAGGGGTATCAGCTTTTTTTTTAGAAAAATTTCGAGCGGCCGGGTGTGCTCTCGAGGACGATCGTAAGGGACGCTGAAGGGGCTTTTCTGTGAGATACGACGAATGGGATCGGTGCGAAAGGCAAAGGACAAAGGGGGGTTAGACGGCCGTTAGAAGGTAGCAGCATGTCGAAGAAGAGGGTAGACGCGCTCGAACTGTAATGTGACTGGATCGTTAAAAAAGGATATTTGATATCCTGGTCGTGACGGAATTGGAAGCAGAACGTATCCGATTAACGGTCATCCGGGTCGGGGTTCGTCAACTGCGTCTCGTTAGTATAGGGAACCGATTTCCGAAGAATTGATGGTAGAGGGGGGGGAGGACGGCCGACTTACTCGCAACACGGGTCGAGAATAATCCTGGTTATCCTGCAGAGAAACGTTGCTATGACGACCTCCATGGGAGTAAACCAAGGCATCCTTCTTCATTCGATGATCGGTGAAAGCGGGGATACTCAGACGAGCTGTGCTACCTCTACTACCTGCTGTAGTACCATTCCCATTAGCAACTGGAGCGACTCTCATGGCTGGGACGCGGCTGCTTAGTGTGTTTTCAAAGATAGGCTGTGGAACTGGGGATTCGTGGAAAGGCGAACGGTAGCTATCATCAATCTTAGCCTGTTGGCGGCGACGGAAGCAGAAGAGCCATAGAATAATGCCCGTGAAGATGGCGAATACGGCCAAAGTGCCGATGATGATTCCGGCAATGGCACCGCCGGATAGCGAGGAGCCGTCGTTGCCAGCTGGAGGGCCGGTTTGGACTGGTGTGTTCGGAACCGTGATGGTAGTGACCCGTCCTTCTACGGTGGTAACCGAAGTCGTAGGATCGGTAGTTGTCGATGCGGGTGAAGATGTTGTTTTCGAGGTTTTCGTAGAGGACTGTATCAAAAAAACGTTAGTTCAGGGGGAGGATTCAACGTCATTCAAAAGGACCAACAACAGAATAAAGCCAGAGTTCTCAAAGACAGTCAAAAGCAGGTGAGAAAATCAAAATAATCCGCGTCTCTTTCAGGGGGAGGAGGGAGGGGAAGGAATCGTAGCCTACAGATGAAGATGTAGAAGAAAATGAAGAAGAAGATAATGATGAGGATGACGATGAAGTTGAAGTAGGCGATAGTGTAGTGGTGCGAGTCTCTGTGCTCACACTGGCCCTGCTTGTGGTCTGTACACTTGGTGTCAAAATCATCTGTGTTGACTGAGATGTCTGTTCAGGTGCAGGAGATTGGGATTGCAGGGTGGAGGAAGAAGATGAAGAAGGTGAAGGTGAAAGTGAAGAAAAAGACGAAGAACGATTCCCCCCCATGGCAGCGGTTGTAGGCATGATACTGGTGAGTAAGGATGAAGAGAACTGAGTGCTACTAACCGACGAGGTAGTGGTCGATGACGGGTTACCAATCGTCGTGGACGGTTTCTTGTCGAGCATGATGTAGGCAAAGAGGCCCTCCGAGGTGTTTCCGCACTTATCATCTGGGTATCCGGGGCAGTTCTGGTTGCATTTGCCGTTCGGGAGGGTGTTTTTCGGGGCAGCATTCGTGCACCAGCACATCTTCCCCTGAAGGACAGCAAATGCGTATTGATTCCCGCATGTCTTCTGACACGCCCCGATAGACTGGAAGCCATCGACAACTATTTCAATGTTAGCTTTGAATCACGTACACGGGTAAGCTCAACAAGGGGGTATATATTTATGCCTACCAGAGTTAAAGCTGCTTCCAGTGTTGAAATCGGCGCAGTAGTCGAGGTCGACGGCCGCAGCTAGAGCTGGATACAAGATGAGGAGTGAAAAGAGCAGCGATATCAGGTTGCCATGGGGGTTGGGAGCCATTGTTATATGACCACCAGGTTGACAGGGGGGAGCTCTTGTTTCTCACAGAACAAACTTGCTTGCAGACTGGCAGGTAAGCTGTTAGCAGGGGGGGGAATTTGATGCTTCAGGGCAGAGGTATCAGGGCAGGTATTGGGGGGCAGATGTGAGGGCAGCAGGCAGACTTGCAGGGACTCAGGTTCACAGAGAGGAAGAGAGGAGGAAAAGGAGAAAAAGAGAAGAAAAGGACAGCAGTTGAAGAGAGAGTGTGTTCCTTAACTGCTCGGCGGAAGAAGATGGAAGAGTCCGCAGGCTCCTCTCATCACCATGGCGATGCAGACAGAATGGTGGTGACAGTGGTAGCAGCAGAGGCAGAGGTGGTTGTTGGTGGTTGGTGGTGATAGAGGATAGACTCACAGATACACACAAGGCAGAAGAAGTCAGGGAGAGCATCCACTTCTCATAACTTGCTTGCAGGCAGTCAAGAGTCTTCCTATGATTCACCAGGAGGCATCAGCCAGATTCACAGCCAGCATGGCATCACCAGCCCTTGTTCCAGCCAGCAGACAGCCCAGCATCCAGCAACAATGGAGTATTATCAGACTTGACGGCAACTTACACCATCCGCGAGAGCTGGACTCAAAGAAAGACGCACGAGACAGGAAAGGAGAGGGAAAGAGAGCGAGAGGGAGCCGGCCGGACAGGTCTTGAGACCCTACGCAACGTCCATCCGGGGAGACGGCCGTCTGGTC